GGAAAAATTGGCTTGTATACCCTAAATCTTATTGAAAATTTGAAATCTATACCAAATTTNTTANANTTTGAAAANTACCNTATTTTAAGGNTTGAAATGACGGTTCTATCCTTACTTAACAAGATTAAGGTAAAAAAAAAATGATTTGATTTTCTTAGTTTTTATTNAAAATTNATTTATAATATGTAAAACTAATATATCATCNATCTAATAATCTAATAAATTTTTTGTCAAATATAATAGTATGTCAAGTCGATGAACATAAAAATTAAGCCAATGGTTTAAATAAGCCGACAAAGTAAAAAGTCAATCAACCAATATATAAATCAATAGTTTAAAATAAATCGATCAAAAAAATTATTTTAGTCGATGAATTACAAAAGTAAATCAGTGGTTTAAATAAGTCGATAATTTAAAATGTCAATCAAACAAAATATAAGTCAACAGTTAAAAATAAGTTGACGAAACTGAAAATTAAGTCGACAAAAACTGAAAATTAAGTCAATGGTTAAATAAGTCGACAATGTAAAAAATCAAGCAAACGATAATATATGTCAACAGTTTAAAATAAGTCGATGAACCTTAATAATAAATCGACAAAACTAAAAAAATAAGTCAATGGTTAAACAAGTCGACAAAGTAAAAAATCAATCAATCAAAATATAAGTCAACAGCTTAAAATAAGTCGACGAAACTGAATATTAAGTCGACAAGCATTAAAAAAAAGTCAACTGTATAAATAAATCAACAAAGTAAAAAATTAACCAACCAAAATATAAGTCGACTGTGTAAAATAAGTCAATCTTTATTTTTTATTTTAATAAAGAATTTAAATTTTAGATATTTATTTACTACCAAAATATTTTTAAAAATAAAAAAATAAATACAAAACTAAATTTCGAATTTGAATTTAATAATTTTAAATTATTTTTAAGTTTTTAAGCATGTTAAATATGTATAAGGGTATTAACGTACTTTTACGTAATAAAAAAGTATATTTTTCCAACTTTACAAGATTAAGTGTATTTTTCAAATTTCCATATAAAATTTAGGGTACTTTTCAAATTCCCCCTATTATTATTATGATCAAATTTCCAACTTGTACTTATATGTGTTCGTTGCAAGCTGTGTGTTGGGACTTTTCCCATCTTAGAGACCGTTACCATCTTACAGCGTGTACAATATCTCCACCATCGAATTTAGACTGGTTGGAACCATTTATGTGTTTTCTTCAAAACTCTCCTAAACTAAAAGTTATTGTCATCTGTAACAAGATTCGTACCCCCGCTCGTGCATTTTTTGTTTTATAGATCTAAATTGAAGTGTTAAACGTGTTAGTTTACTTACATACATATACCTTGATGTGTCTTAACAGAAAAATGAGGATTTGCCACTTTCATTCAACCAACCGAGTTTTGTTCCAGCATGTTTGTCAACCCATCTCGAGATCTTTGACTGGAGTGGATATGGAGGACATGACGGAGAGAAGGAAACTTTGAGATATATATTTGCTAACGACATCTCCATGAAATCACCACCACCACCCCTCAATTATCGTAAAAAAAGAAACCTTAGAAAGAAGACGAAGAAGCTGGGGAAAGAGTTAGAAATTATGTCTAGGT